GGAATAAAGTGAAGCAACGGATTTCGCTGGTTGCAGGCCCCTAAGGTCTGGCGCCCTAGTAGCGCAACGGAGTTAACTTAATGTATGTAGGTACGCACCTTATAATCTCCCTCGTGGTATCCCTCCTATCAGTCGGGGTGATCCTGAGGCTTGCCTTCAAGCATTTAGAGTTGTTCCTAGTGTGCTCCGCCCAAACCTGATAAACAAATAAGTGTTCATATTTGCGTGGGTTCACAAAGGTAAACCTACATATCGCAAATGTAGGACATAGCTCTGGCTGAAGAAAATTGAGTATTCTATTCTAGTATTCTATTCTTCATAGTATTCGAGAAATGTATCCACTAGGAAGGGAGACAGACTCCCAGGGGTGCATGGCGATATATGTTTTGCAGTGGGGGATACGCCCGGTGGAGCAAAGGGAGGGCGGCTCGGGCTCAACATTTACCGATTGGCTATCCATTGCCGTCGGACTGCAGCTGCAGTCTTAGCTTTCGTAGCGGAGAGGCCGAGCAGTGCGTTCACGTTGATGAGGTCAGCACTAATAAGGATCGCATTAACGCGGAAATCAGCGAGAAGAACACGTCTCATCTACCTTTGTTTCCTGTGTGGGATCAATTAATCGTGAAATCCGCGTCCAAGCTTGACACAGTTAACCTCGCACGCTTGCGAATTAATGCACAAAACTGTGCATCGTGCCCTGCTTTGACGCTTACCTTCACTACCCTGAACCTATGACCACGTGATGAAGGTCGTGAGACATTGGCTTTTAAATTTCGTGAGCCTTTCTCCGTACCAAATGAATGATTTCAGTGCGTCATTCCTGGCTTGATGGTTTTTTACGTCTATAAGGGAGTTTCATTCAATGAAGCGTATATGGACACCATGTCTATCCAGTCTACAACTGCAGATAGGATAGCGGTTATTTCTATAATATCCATATCTGTGAGTATCATCAGCATGGTAATGCAGCGCATCCTAGCAATGGTGAATAAAAGGAGAATTTTGAGGTCGGTTCTAATGGATCACTCTTGTGTCAGCGAAACATCTTCCTAGACTCTTTCTATCGTGCCGGGATTCGGAAGAGCTTCTGCGCTAGACGGGTCCTGAACGGAATTGTAGTCTTAGGAAGAACGCTTCTGGAGCAACAAAAACAAGCGTAAATATCATGGCTTCTATGGCACTGACATCGGGAGTCAGTTCAGTGTTGATTCTTGTAGAATAGAATAAAACTTGCTCCTTATTCCATTCAGCCCAGATATTATTTCAGGGGATGAGTTATTCATTCGTTCTATCAAACTTGAACAGTACTTATAAGAATTATGTAGAATTAAAGTAACTGAAGACAGCTCTAAAACTAAGCAATAACAAAAAAGAGGTTGCAGATTGACAACAGGACCGCTGACGACTCGATACCAATTGTCAGAGAATATCTCAGGGAGCAATCTTACTTCAAGCCTTCTAGTATTCCAGGTAAAATTACATGTGTTTCCACATTCGCCTCACATACTTAAAGAGCTGTCTCTGAAAGCCGTCCTCAAAAGCTTGGATGGTTCCGAACTATTGCAACCCACATCTTGTAGTTTTACAACATCTATGGCTTTACCCACTTCTCATCCACTCACAGCTTATTTCTGCGATAGCGATACATCATAAGATTTACATCGGGGTTGCAGGTGCTAACTTCAGTCGTACAGTCATCGTTGACCTTGATACTTCCCGAGCTCATCTCAAGATTCTCCGACAACGGAAGTTAATACTAAAATAATCGTCGCAGAAGCTTCTTATGTGAGTTGTGCTTTGCAGGATCATTTCCAAGTGAAGCAAAGCAAATCATCCATTGCAGTGTCTTCCCCTTGCATTGGCTATTCTGCCATTCCTTATCCTACACTTGCTAAAGAAGAGGCAGAGGATCCGTGCTGCTACAATTCAACAATCGGTTTGCCAGTCGAAAGCAGATGGCGCTACAGCACTTTACGCATCCATGCTCGAGCAGCAGTGGCAATAGTGTTCGTCTACATTCAAATTGTAGTGTTTTATTAGGCTGATAATAAGTTTTGAGAAGTTCTTCATGCTTTTCTCCTTTTCTATTTTTTATTGTGCCAGCGCAATAATCATAGTATAGTTGCCTTCGTTGGTCACCACACTGGTCCACGAGTTGAGCAGCATGGTTCTTTTCTCCTGAAACTGGCTAGGCTGGTAGTCGCCAAACACGTTGAAAGTTTTCCCAGAGAATCTTCAGGTTGCGAAACACACAAAGGTCGAAGTGGCCTTGTCGAAATAATATGTCATGCGGTATAGTGTCCCATCCCGATCCTTAGTTTTTTAGTGGGTGTTGTAAGTTACAGGAAGTCTAGCTTATCATGAAAGAGGTGCAGTGAAGCTCGCCGGACGCGTTTCTAAAATTTTTATACGTGAATGGAGTTGACACTCAGTGTCTGGCCTTGCGAAAGCAGATATTCTACAGAAACGCAGGAGAGGAAGCAGGTCGAAGTACAGCCTCTTTTGAGATTCCCACCAAAAAGAGCAATAAAAATCAAACCATACCACCTCGGCTGCTTGC